CCCCCCCCCCCACAAAAAAAGAAAAAAAATCCCCGGGCCCTCTTCTTAAACTCACACTCCCATCTCAGATATATTAAAACCATTAACATCATCAAAAGAGGTGCATATTTTTACTTACACCGCTTTGTAAATAGAAATAGTTACACAGACTCTATTTCCTCTTTTTAAAGAATCTCTACGGGGAAAATTGTGTCGCGGTGGTAGGTTAAAAAAATGCTTAACATAATTCAAATATCTTACAACTAATGGAGCTAAGGCCAAATTTTGCGAACAGTATATTCTCAGAAACTAAAAATGAAAAAATATGAAACTTTGACAGTACCCATAACTTGAAACGTAGTGTTGCACTATTGTATTTTTATTGAGATCAAATGTGTAAGAAAAAAAGCCCATTTTAAGTTAAATCAAAGATAGTACATAACAAGATGGGCCACTCAGCCAAAAAAGTGTCCCCCGGAAGTTCGCTCTTTGCTTCAGATGGCGCTGCAGTCTGTTTTGAAGCTCTCTTTCGTTTTTCCAGAAGAAGGATAGGAATAGCACCTCCTTGCGTGCGCAGATCGACTGCTGTCCATCAGCAGTTCGGGTTCGTTCAGTGTGGAGTTTTAGGGGTTTAAAAATTTTTTTTAATGACCTCTAGCCTTTCATTCTAAAGTCAAATTAAACGAAAAAAACAATCACTCTTTCCTCCGGAAGAGGTTTTTTTTGTCAGCGTAACCATTTAAAAAAAGTGTTCTTCCGAAATTTATTAGAAAACTTGCTAGTTTCACTTTGATTTTTTAAACTCAAATAGGGTAAATCTGTTCGCAAAAGGTGCGCTTTTACGAAGAGAGCGCCACCGAATTTTGAGGACCCTTTTTTAATTGGCTCAAAGGGAGAAGTAGCCCCTCTTGTTGTGTAGACTCTTTGGTTAAATTCAGTCCTTTTGTAGCGATCGCTATCATTTGCTTCGACAGTGTATATTCACTGCCGAGTGCCGACTGCGCGGATTTTGTTATACATTACAAGCTGGGCCCCCTTTCCATGAAAGGAATGATCGGTGCATTAAAATCAACTGAAAGTCATTGGCCTATTATTATTTACATTCTACTGGAATGGAGCAATAAATCTGAAGAGAAAAGTGACACATGTGTTTCCAAGTTGCCAAATATAGTCTATAATAGACAAATGAGTCCAGAAAAAACGATGTTGGGCATCAAACGAAAGGATCACAGTCGAATTTAGCACCAAATAAAGAAAGAAAACATGAGGCTAGATCTACACGGGTCGCGAACTTAAAATAGTGCTCAGTATTTGCCGACAACGCACGATAGTATCGAACGGAAGTACGACTTGAAATAATGAACAAACCTGGCGGATTTTCAAAAATTACAGAGACAGAAGCGTCGGCCTACAAAAGTGATCGGCGAAATAAAGAAATTTAGCTTTTTGCAGAAATACTGTCTCAAAACTGAAAAACCCAAGGGCGTCATGATCTGGAGAATATTTTAAAGAATCTATTGGCGAAAACCGCATGTCGATCGATGCAGCCATTATAAAGCCTTTTGAATAGCAAAATTCGGCCACCTCAAATAGATAATAGATAAGACACGGCCAAGGACTACTATACTATAGTATAGTAGTCCTTGGACACGGCTTAAAAAGCTCTCTCGGACGTCCGCGCACACTTGACATGTATCCTCTCACTGTATAACAAATTCAGCGGATTCAATGCCGCCATCGAGACAAAGCTGTTTAAATATCCGAGAAAGATCCATCGGATTGTCTGTCTTCTTGACTACAAATACATTTAAAAAGCAAATTACCATTACTAACCAAAATCGTAATACATCAAAATTCAAGCAATTATAAAAATCTTGTCTTACTCTTAGCAAAAGTAGGCTGAAGAGACTAAAATTCTCCCTTTGTAAACAATTTTACTACGTTGAAAAAGTTTTTGGTAAATCGTTTCCTAAGAGAAGAAAAATATTGACCAATTATTGCAGTAACAATGTATTTATCTGATTGTGCCCCTTGGCAATGTTTTCTTTTTAAATTATATAGCCTTCTGGTGTTTTCTCTCCCTTGTTGGAGCTCAGGGGCTCTGGGATTTCCCGAATGATGTGTCGCTTACCCGTAGACTTGAATCATAACATAACTAGCTGGGTTTCCCGTTCGATGAACGGACTCAAAAGAATCGGTCGTCAAGTCATTGTGGGATCAGTACGAGTACGTACTCCTTGTAAACGAAAGACTCACCTGTTTACAATGGTGTCTTAGAAGACAGACTTTCCCAAGATTAGATCTAAACGAAACTAATGAAAAACTGAAAATTAAACCACAGTGACTTCAGACTTCTTGATATAACTGTGCACCCTTTAAATGATTCTAAACCAGAGTTATTTTATAGGCATCAAACGAAAGGATTACAGTCGAATTTAGCACCGAGTAAAAAAAGAAAGCGAAGAAGACGAAGATGATGAAGAAGAAGAAGGAGGAAAAAGAGGAGGAACAGGAGGGATTAGAGGAGGAGGAGGGGGAGAACAAGAAGAAAAAGAAGGAGAAGAAGAATCAAGTAGTAATCTATGTTATAAAGTTGGTACTTTTTTGTTGTTACCCCACCTTGGGAGAGAGAGAGAGAGAGAGAGAGAGAGAGAGAGAGAGAGAGAGAGAGAGAG